CTATGGGACCTAGCTACAAGACCTAGCTATAGAACCAATCTGTTGGACCTAGCTACGAGTTCTAGCTACGGGGTCGAGCTAAGGGACCTAGCTACGAGACCGAGCTACAAGACCTAGCAACGGGACCAAGCTATTGGACCTAGCTACGTGGCCTAGCTATGAGACCTAGCCACATGACCTAGCTACGGGACTTAGCTACTTCCAAGTGGTGGTCAATGCTATGGCTGAGCTACCAAGCAAGGTAGTCAAATAGAGAGAAGAGCCGAGCTACGAGGAGAGCCATGCAATGTTAGCTTTTATGGTGCTATTTGTTGCATGGTTAAGCCATTGGCAGACAGAGCAGAGGTAATCCAGTTGGACGGCAAAAAGCCGAGGAAAGACTTGTGCCATCTCACTTGGCTTGTAGTGAGGAGGGTGTTAAAGGATAAGCTTTTAGAAATATGATTCCTAGGAGGACTCTACATTGGAGAATAAGAGTCCTACTAGGATTGTGCCACGCGGAATCTATAAAAGCTCATAGCAGGACCTATGTACAGGTATCACAACTTTGATTCTCGAATACACAGAGCTTTTGTCTATTTGTCTATTTTGCTGACTTAGGCATCGGAGAGGTATCCGGCACACACCCGCCGGCTAGCTCACGTTTGTGTTTTCAGGGAGTAAAGCGATGACGTTCGGAGGAAGCTCAAACTTGATCAATAAGATTATACGAGAAGATTATTCTGCGCTCGTACAATTGGCGCCGTCTATGGAAAACGCAATCACAAAGAACGAACCTGTTGATTAAGTTTTCTTTCAACTGATTTCAATGGCGCACAATGAAGACTTGTCACACTCTGCCATTGATGGGCAAACCTCGGAGGGGGGCAGAAGGCGCAAAGGCTTGCCTTTTATCCCGCTTATGGCAGAGTTAGATCCTTAGCGACGGAACCTGCAAAGGGATACCCGTGAAAGACGGGGCTCCAGTCCTCGTCGCTCCCAAAGCCTTGAAAAACAGAGGTGAAGGTTGGATCCTTAGGTTCTAGAAGAACAAGTAAGGGAGCAAGACGAATTGATACGGAGGATAGCGGCAGACATGGAGATGATGAAGCGCCAGATAAAAAGCAAAGGGGTGGCAACAAAAGAGGGGCGCAAAGGCAACACATACTCTTCCCACTCAGAAGATCGTGACAGACAAGTCACAACGTCACAAGCTGAAAGTAGAAGCCTCAGGTCGAGCGATACACAATCAAAGACTTCCAGGACACGCTACTCTAAGCCTGAGAGAATGAGGACTGAAAGGGCTCGAAGGAGAGAAGACACTCGGGCTTGCAATCCTCGCAGAGTCTCCGTACTACAATGATTGGTTCCTAGAACACATGGGAGTGCCGAGGTAGGAATGCCAGAGCCACGCCTTGCCTATGAACCAACGGACAAAGTGTTAGCAAGGTTGCAGAGCTCGCCGTTCGTTCCGGCAATTGAGAACGCACCATTACCCTTAGGCTTCCATCAGCCTAAATTCACAACTTATGAGAGGAAGTCGGACCCCTACATGCACTTGAACCACTTGAGCCAGGTCATGGCGGTGTATCAGCGAAACGAGGCTCTAATGTGTATCCTATTGCCATCCAGCCTTGGTGACCTGGGTCTAACATGGTTTGAAAGGTTGCCAGAAGGTAGCATAACTTCATGGGCGCAACTAGCAGAAGCATTTGTAACCAGATTCAGAACAAGCACCAAGGCACCGGTGGAGATTGACCAGCTACTCTCCATAGATATGGGCGAGAAGGAAACATTGAAATCTTACAACAATCAGTATTGGGAGACTTTTAATCAGATTGGAGATTGCCCCACAAACCTAGCTATCGCAAAGTACAAACGAGGCTTGCCGGCTGGCAATAAGTTGAGGGATTCAATGACAATGACGCCACCCTTTACTATGGAAGCCTTGATGGAGAGAGTGCACCAACATATCTTGGTAGAGGAAGATGGGATGTACACCAAGGCAGAGTTTGACACAATAGCAATACCAGACAAAAAGCCTTTGGCGAGAGTTAACACGGTTGATAAGTAGGACTGACCGCGCAAAAGTCTTTGCCCAACTAGGGGCAAAGTGGATTGGCAGGTTTGACCAACTCTTTCTAACAAGTCTTTGCCCGACTGGGGGGCAATCAAGAAGCTTGGCAGGATTGGCCAGCATTTAGCTCTTCTTCAGCCGAGATAAGGATCCGCGCTGAAGAAAGTTGGCAGGAATAACCAACATTGAGCTCTCTTTAGTCGAGATAAGGATCAAGGCTGAAGAAAGGTTGGCAGGAATAACCAACATTTAGCTCTTCTTTAGCCGAGATAAGGATATGCACTGAAGAAAGTTGGCAGGAATAACCAACATTGAGCTCTCTTCAGCCGAGATAAGGATCAAGACTGAAGAAAGGTTGGTAAGAATAACCAACATTTTGCTCCCTTCAGCCGAGATAAGGATCAAGGCTGAAGAAAGGTTAGCAGGAATAACCAACATTTTGCTCTCTTCAGCCGAGATAAGGATCAAGGCTGAAGAGAAAGTTGGCAGGAATAACCAACATTTTGTTCTCTTCAGCCGAGATAAAGATCTAGGCTAAAGAAAGGTTGGCAAGAATAACCAACATTGAGTTTTCTTCAGTCGAGATCAGGATCTAGGCTGAAGAAGGTCGGCAGGAATGGCCAAAACAGGTTGGCAGGTTTGGCCGACAATTTTTTTGAACTCTTAGGACCAAGATGCTTATCTCGGCCAATGAAGGTTGGCAGGTTTGACCAGTTTTTTGGATTCTTCAGCCAGATACGTATCTCGACCAAAGAAGGTTGGCAGGATCAGGTAAAGCCAAGCTAATTAGTTTGCCTAAACATGCAGTTAGAATGATGCAAAACATTGAAAAAGAAACATAGTAACTGAGCAAAGAGATCAAAATTTTTCAAAACACATAACGGTTATAACAGGAAAACAAGGATAAAGGGGGCATGCCATGTATCCTAGAAATGATGTCGTGGAAGGACATGTTGAGCAACAGACAAGAGTTATTGAGGCTGAACGAGTTGCGAAAACCAAACAACTTTTCTAGCTCGGCAGAGTGGGGCGTTCTTAGCTCGGCTGGAGGAAAATAATCGCAATCATGCTACGCAGATGGAATTAAGGGGCAATTGAGAGGCTAATTTGTGTAGCCAAATTGGGCCGAGCTAGGTTGGAGTGGTGGTCGAAGATGTTTTTGGACCTGGCTACGGGACCTAGCTATGGGACCTAGGTACGAGACCGAGCTACGAGTTCTAGCCATGGGACCTAGCTATAGGACCTAGATATAGAACCAAGCTGTTGGACCTAGCTACGGGACCTAGTTGCGAGACTGAGCTATGGGTTCTAGCTACAGGACCGAGCTATGAGACCTAGCTATGGGACCTAGCTATGGGACCTAGCTACGAGACCTAGCTACAGAACCAGTCTGTTGGACCTAGCTATGAGTTCTAGCTATGGGGCCGAGCTAAGAGACCTAGCTACGAGACCAAGCTACAAAACCTAGCTATGGGACCAAGCTATTGGACCTAGCTACGTGGCCTAGCTATGAGACCTAGCCACGGGACCTAGCTATGGGACTTAGCTACTTCCTAGTGGTGGTCAACGCTATGGCCGAGCTACCAAGCAAGGTAGTCAAACAGAGAGAAGAGTCGAGCTACGAGGAGAGTCATGCAATGTTAGCTTTCATGGTGCTACTTGTTGCATGGTTAAGCCATTGGCAGACAGAGCAGAGGTAATCTAGTTGGACGGCAAAAAGCCGAGCAAAGACTTGTGCCATCTCACTTGGCTTGCAGTGAGAAGGGTGTTAAAGGATAAACTTTTAGAAATGTGATTCCTATGAGTACTCTACATTGGAGAATAAGAGTCCTACTAGGATTGTGCCACGCGAAATCTATAAAAGCTCATAGCAGGACCTATGTACAGGTATCACAACTTTGATTCTCGAATACACAGAACTTTTGTCTGTTTGTCTATTTTGCTGACTTAGGCATCAGAGAGGTATCCGGCACACACCCGCTGGCTAGCTCACGTTTTGTGTTTTCAGGGAGTAAAGCGACGACGTTCGGAGGAAGCTCAAACTTGATCAACGGGATTATACGAGAAGATTATTCTGCGCTCGTACACATATAAACTACAATAAATTTTGTCACAAAAAATATTTATTCACGATGAATAATCACTTTGTCACAATAACAAGTACAAATGATGAAAAAAATTCGTCACTAAACTTCCCATATTTTATATTTCAATTTAAATTATTATTTTACAAATATCCTTACTCATATCCCAATAGCCTTTTAAATATACTAAGAAATACACTAGCTATTATACATCATTCCACAAAAAAATTCACTAAACAATTTATATTATAAATCAAAATATATCCATCAAACAAATTTAATAATAATCCATTAAGTATAACAAAAAAACCATCAAAGCAAATCCCAGAATGAACTAACATGGAGTCCACAAAAAAAATCAACACTCGATCTTGATTTGCAACTAGAACTAAGTATCAATTCAGGAAAAAAAATAATTCAACAGTTGATCTTGATTTGCAAGTATGCTTCCAAACGTCATCAAAAACCAATCTGCAAAGAAAAACAACAAGAAAAACATTAACATATTATCAATTACATTGTATAGACTTCTCTATCCATATCAATACAAATTGTGTACACAATGAGTCTAGCTTAACAACCAGAAGTTCCTTTGTACATGGCAAGCTCCTATTAATCACATCACTAACTTAGAGCAACTCCAACACTCACAAAAAAGTATGCACATAGTTTTGTCTCTACTTTGGTTAGTGTGTATTTTATCAAGGGTCATGCTAAACAAGAAGTAACTAATGAATCTATTTTCATTAAATACATCTTCAAACTTGTTAAATCTTAGTTAATAATTAGTGAAACTGCTATGCTTTAACTAATATATACTAACCAACATTAGAAAAATAAAAACATAAAACAAGTGAGACTTACCAAAAAGGCGATCTACGAGTTCTGTAGGCATGGGTGCTCAAGCTCTGTCCACAATTTGTTGCCACCGCTTTGCTAATATCCGTGGATTCACCTTGCATGTCAAATTGATCCTAGCAACAACCACAAATATTGTAAGTCATAATTAATTGTATTATATGAATTCAATCAATTATGTAAAACTTTTACTGTGAGACGCTAAAACATAAGTGCCATAACTTCTTCGTTGACATGTTTCCACCTGCGAATGCTAAAGTCTGGCAAGTGTGTACGGACCTCAACACCAATTTTGGAGACTAATTGAGATGCATGATCCCCCACTGGCGCATAATACTCCTATGGTATGCAAACACCAGAATATTGTGGCACGATCTCCTGGTCATAGAAAAGAATGAAAATAAGGTCAGACGTGAGTGAAAACAGAATTTATGTTGTTCTTAATTTCAATTGTTATGTCTTACAAACTGCAAGCATGAATAATTGTTATGAGTTTTTCCACATATGAGGGTTCATTAATTCATAAATGAGAATGACTTGGATGAAAATAGAAATGAGGAAAAATGTTCTGTATTCTGATTATAGAGACTTCTGTCATGGAAAGCAAATTGCTGGTGAAAATTGTGGTGTACATGTGTTCATACCCAATTAGTGTTCACTTACCCAATTAAGAACCCACCCTGGTAAAGTGAAGTACTCTGGTTTAAACAATGGATCAGGATCACAATGAAGCCAGCCAGTTGACAAATCCTATATGTATTATCACCAAAAGGAAATGGAGATAAGTTTCTTCGAAGTTGGACACATATACCTTTTTAAACAAGAGTGCTACAATATTGAAAAATAAGGATCACCTTCCTCGAATATGTAAGCCACTCATTGCGACCCATGACATTTGCAAGCTATGTAAACAATAGACATCAATTGTGGAAGAAAAAATAAGAAGTTAAGCACCACTGGCACTGCCAGCATGTAGTGGTGACTCCCTCCCTCCCTCCCTCCCTCCCTCCCTCTTGCTACTCTCCTTCATTCACCAGAAAAAATAAATAAATAAAAGAATTAGTCTTCACTGTTTTCAAAATATTTTTTTTACATTAAATAAATAAATAAATCATTATGTTAATGGGTGCAATACTAACCACACGTCAAAATCATTTCTATTATGTTAGGCTTCGTTTGTTTTTGGTTATAGGGTGGGCATTGGGATTCATAGTGAGGTGAGACCCACTAGAGTCTACTAAAGAAATTAAAATGAGTAATTAATGGACAAAAAGTGATAAAAATAAGATCTAATTTTATGTATTTAGTGTTTATTAATTTAGATATATATTAATGTATATAAGAAACAAAAAAATAATTAAAGAATGAGTGTTGCAATTATTACCGCATCAATTATTTTGAACCTCTTATTTCTTTGAATCCCCACTTATAAATTGTAAAACTCTTTCAAAAAAATTATTAAACAAAAAACTTGAAACAACACAAATATGCCAAGCACCCTTGTCAAACACACACACATGCATGTGTGCACCTGCAAACGTGTACACACACACACTCACACACATGGAGATTATGTAAGAATATATTTACCTAACCAAAATGGAGGAACACCACACAATAAAATGTAGAGTATTACTCCTGCACTCCATATATCTATTTCTAGTCCATAGTTCCACTTGAGCACCTCCGGAGCCATGTAATATGGACTTCCAACAATTTCAGAGAACTTTTCACCTAACAAAAACTCAAAAATTTAGACATAAAGCAGAAGTGAAAAATAAATAAATAAATAAATAAAAATCAAATTCTTCAGTTTCAAGCTCTCAATTGTTCCTTTGCAAGCATCTCACTACCCATAAATCAGGAAAAATGCCATATTTAAAGGATAAATTGAATCAATGTGGCAATGAATAGGGAACGACCACTAGTTTTATGTTTGTTTTTATTAGTACACATATCATATGGCCTGCATGTATAAACAGGTAGAAGTGTAAGAAAATTATTTGATAAGTCACGGGTTAAAGACTATTGACTTGCATAAACCATGTTGAATCACATGTTGTAGCTAAATCTCAAGATAGTAAAAAATCAACAAAACTCACATTAAATTGTTGAATTGTTATTCTCTTCTTGCAAGATAGGGAGTATGATGGTAAGATCTTATACTACAAAAGTAACAGAACTGTTATCAAGTTATGTATTCAGAAACAATTTGCTAGTTGTTGTAAGACTATAGCAATACTAGCCCTTTTGTGAGTATCAAACTCACTTGAGCCAAATTAAAACATGGATTTGGTGCTCAAGGCATATATACAGTGCAAAAATCAGTAGAACATTCAAATGTCACCAGAGTTTTCAAACCAACTAGAGTGAATACATTCATTATCTCAATGCCAGCCAGCCAATAATGAGTACAAATTTAAGGTGCTTTAGTGCCAGTCACCCAAGTAGCTCTTTTTGTTGTGCCATGTAGTTGATCATTGAAGCTATTTTAGAATAGCATGTATCAAAGTTCTAGGGGGAGAAAATAATAATCTAGTAGCAGAGGTTTTCATTTAAATAATAAAATGTGGTATGGCCACCTTATGAATGTATTCAGTTCAAAAACATAGCACGACATTAAATGTCACTAGTTAAGAAGCATGGACACTTCAAAGAAGGCGTCGTGTGTTTGTGTCGGACACTAACACTCCTCATACACACCCTGACGTGTGTGTTAAACATGCATCCAAATGTGATATTATTTTTTTAATCTTTTTAGAACAAGACAAACATCTGACACTTCAAATAACTTCGAAGCTAATAGTTAAAATCAAAGTAATGTAGATCCCTCCTTCAACTTGTAATGAATACTAAGAAGCAATAGACATCAAGCAATACCATTGTAACAAAAATGATTATGGAAATATATAGAACACACTGTGAGTTCAAAAATTCCAAAGATTAACTTTGCTAAAGCCTAAACAATAGCATAAGCAAGTGTAAATGAGGAAAACAATTGTTCAAATAAATGTTTACAAGAACTATAGTGGGATATAAAGCTGCACCCCATGCGACGTGCACGGAGGAAGTAAAAGCTCTCTATATCTTCGCTGTAGTAAAGCCACCCGAGCCTATCTCATATAAAAACCAACCATCTGATCTTACGGGAGTCAATGACAAGCTTATGTTTCTCATGTCCATAGTTAGAGTGAAGTAGGTAGAACTATTTGTATGTATGTTATATCGCAAGGCTAAATGAAAAGAAAATTAAAAAAAATAAAAAAAAAACTCCACACAAGTTTAGAGACCGCATAAACAAAGAGAGATGTGATCTGTGAACTTGCTAATACAAGGAGACCTCAAAACAACCTGCACGGAGGAACTACTCAAAGAGAAGATGCCCACAGCCAACTAAAACAAAGGCAAGAAATAATGGCAGTAGCAGAGCATCATGGCCTTCAATAACTCATATAGGAAGTATGTTTCTCTTATCATATCTTTTTCCATTTTAAGTCATACTCTATCAAATGCTTGTGCTTGATGGCTGAAAAAGCAACTGACTTTCATTTTAAGTTTGATTAGTCTCCTGCTCTCTTTTTAAGTTTGTGATTTATTTAAATCTTGTATTTGCTTGCCTACTGAAGTTCTCCCCTAAAGTTAGAACTGTTTGATTATACAGGGCAGAAACTGTATTTACAGGCTTGGAGAGCTTTCATAATCATGCACAACATACCAATGCCGTGTCTGATGTTCAGGATGGTTACGAGCTTATGATTTCGAAGTTAATCAGAACTGAAATATCCAATTGTTCTTCTGTACCAGCAGACATTAGTTCTCTGCACAATGAGATGACCCTTAATAATGGTGAGGTACAATTATAATTTACAAACAGCGAGAAACTGGATACTTGTTTAACTGGGATCTTTTCCATGTACAGTTCTTTATACTAATATTGGTATATATCGGTGTGGCACTAGAAAGGACCAAGTTATTACATATAGTCTTCATTTATATATCTTGAAGTTTCTTAATAAAATTCTCAACTACGTTAATTATGGCTGCTGAATAACTTACTTTGTATTCTACAAGGATCCTCAAATACCCAAGCATGGTATCCAAGAAGAATCAAGAGGCTAGTCCAGATAGCAAGGATGATCACAGAAGCGAAGGAATCAATCCAAATCATAGCCTAAGCAATCAATTTTACATTTTTATGAATAACCTAAGTAGAAAAACCCACAAAATAAACAGATATTAAACAAACATTCAATTATAAAGAAGAGTTGAACCCTAATTTTATTAAAAATACAGACAATCAATCCAAATCATATAAAATATTCACATTTAGTCAAGGGCTTTTGCTAATTTCAAACTATTAATTATAATCAATAGGACATTCATTCTCAAGTTTATAGCAGAAACAAGCAAAAGACATGAAATGAGGATGGCCAAGTTTACAGTTTACACATTCACAATTTATTGAAGAGAAACCTTGCTGGAAAGAATAAATACAACATTAATTCTAAAAATTAGTTTCAAAAATTAGGGAAAACATTAATTCTGAAAATTAGGGAAAACAATGATAGAAAAATAAAGAAATTGAGTGTGTGTGTGTGTGTGTGTGTGTGTGTGTGTGTGTGTGTGTGAAAGAGAGAGAGAGAGGACCCATACCTGAAAATACAAAAATAGAGAAATTGAGTAATAAGAGGCACTGATGTAAGAGAACACGTAGCAGTAAAGGAGATGCAACGTCTGTGGTGCCACTGAAGGAGGAGAACAGGGATGTCAGTAGCGGCTCTGGAGAAGAACACATGGAAGTGTGCGTGGTAAATGAAGAAATTGAGTGTGTGTTTTTAGTTTCGTTAATAAGCAAAACACACAGCACTTGTGTTTTGTTTTGAGTGGGAGAGAGAGTGTTAAAACCTACCATCACCTACTCCACCTACTACACCTACCACCACCTACTACCACCTACTACACACCTACCACTACCACCTACTACCACCTACTCCACTACATCTCCTATATAAGGAGCCCCTCACCATTTGTAATATATAACATATATCAATCAATAATACATCAATTTTAACATGGTATCAGAGCAAGGTTAAGAACCTAGTATTTTCGTTCCACCGGTGGGCGGCAATCTCGCCTTGGCCGCCCGCCGGACAAACCCAAATTTCCCTAATTTCTTCTTCAATGGCAGATTCTTCTACTCCACTGTCAAGCCACCACCGCTGCAACTCCACAACCGGGCCATCATCACCGATAGCCTCACTCACCTTGGCTGCTTCATGTTCTTCTCAGGCCGCACCTTACACTAACCCCCATTGATGACATTGAATGCAGGTACAGGTAGCACCAAAGTTTTGTTACCAGCAAGATTCGCAATGTGCTTGTAAAGGGGAATCTTATTCACCATAGCTCCTGCTTTACATACAGCAAGTGGAACTGCCAATAATATAGCATTTGCGCCAAGCCTTTGTTTGCACCAGCCCCATTCATTAACTGTCCCATCGAGTTCTTGCACCATGAAGTTGTCAATTTTGGTCTGTTCTGTTGGGTCCTTGCCAATCAATGCAGGTCCGATGATTGAATTCACATTATTCACAGCCTTGAGTACGCCTTTTCCGAGATAATCTGAACCCCCATCTCTCAATTCCAAAGCCTCGTAAACACCTGTGGAAGCACCACTGGGAACAGCAGCCCTAGCAAAAGTTCCATCATCACAAATGACATCAACTTCGACGGTTGGATTTCCACGGCTGTCGAAGATCTGGCGAGCTTTAACGGCTTTGATCGTCACCATTGTTACTTCAATCGCAAAAACACTTTTCTATCTCTCGACTGTTTACTGAGGGGCGTCTTTATGGAGAGCGTTGGAGCTGAGGGTGCTTCAGCAGCTGCACCTCTAAATTAGTGGAGGCATGATGCGTGGAAACCACCGCTTGTTAAGGTTGGAGACAAAGTACAGAAGGGACAGGTTCTCTGCATCATTGAGGCCATGAAGTTGATGAATGAACCCACTTTCAACCCCACAATCTTTTTTTTTTTAATCAACCCACTATCTCTCTCTCTGGTCCCTTTTTCTCTCTCTACTCAAGGATCCACCACTTTGTCCACTTTCCAACCCCTTCCTTCACCTTTTGCACTCCACTCACCATATATCTACCGATTCAGGGGACAAAGCATATATATCTTTTATTATTATAATATATTACCCACACTATTATCCTTCACTCACCCTATATCTACTGATTCATCAATATATATATATAATGATTTTTCACAAACCTTTATTTTATTTTATTTTTATTTTTTCTATCTTTCTTTTTCATCAATACTTCAATATTCTACAACTCAGTTGGTGAGTATCATCCTTTTTCCATTCTCTTATTATTTTATTTTATTTTATTTTTTTTCCAAAACCAAAAAAAAAAACAAAAAAAAAACAAAAAAACAAAAAATCCATTCACAACCAACTCGTTTTCATTTCACAAACTTGTCATTTCTTCATGCCGGGATCAACCCCGATCACCATTTTACAGCCAAAAAAAAAAACAAACAAACAAACAAACAAACAAACAACCACAACCACCACCACCACATCCACAGGCGGGATTTTTCTTCTCTACTCTGCTGCCGGTCTCTTCTTCTTGCCTCCGTCCTGCGCGGCCCTTGACGGTGCAGCCTCCGTGCTTCCTAGACCACCAAGCAAGTTGCCTCCCTCCTGCTCCTCCACTACAGCATATGGCGGACCTCCAAATCGGAACAACAAGGTGGCCTTCCGCTTCCGCTCCTTATTTTCCGCCTTTAGCACACTTATCTCTGCTCGCGCATCCTTATACATGCGTTGGAGCAGAGCCAGCTGGGAGCCGTTGAGGTCGGGAAAGAGAGTGAGCAGCCCACGGGAAGACGAAGCCATTTTCTGGGCAACAGAGTGTTACAGCGTATTACAGAGTTTTTCTCTCAGCAAAACGAAGAATTTTTCAGAGGTTTCTCTCAGTTTTTCTGTCTCAGCTTCTGCCTCAGCCTCAGCCTCAGCATCCGTCTTGGTTAAATAGCCAAGGCAGACACGCGCATCGCGTGCCACTTGACGCCAGACGACAAAACGGGCGCGCAAGCCAATGTGGTGACGTGTCTCGCCATCATGTCCGGCACGCCTTTGCCTTTTGATGGCACGCCTTTTGATGGCACGCCTTTTGAAAAATTGAGCGCACCTTTTGAGGATGCGATTTTTTTATGGGTCCGACAAGACTCTGTAAACTGTCTCGACATTGATTCCGGTTAGCTCCTTTATGGGTCTGACAAGACTCTGTAAACTGTCCCGACATTGATTCCGGTTAGTTTCTACAAGGGTCCAGCAAGACTCCGTAAACTGTCTTCTACACCGGTCCGACATGACCCCATAAACTGTCTTCTACATCGGTCTGACACGAGCCAGTGTCTTCTACATCGGTCTGCCATAACCATACAGTCTTCTACAACGGTCTGACACGACCATACAGTGTCTCCTATCCATTTTTTATTTTTCAGATTATTTTCTTGTTTTGTTACTCTCTCCAAACTCAAGTTGGTTAGTTCCTATCCCCCTTGAGTTTGCGGGGGGCTGTTAAAACCTACCATCACCTACTCCACCTACTACACCTACCACCACCTACTACACACCTACCACTACCACCTACTACCACCTACTCCACTACATCTCCTATATAAGGAGCCCCTCACCATTTGTAATATATAACATATATCAATCAATAATACATCAATTTTAACAGAGAGAGATAGAGATAGAGCCTGGTAGGGAAACTGGTCAATACACCAAAAAAAAAAATTAAATTAAATTAAAATTATTGGTGATACAGATATATTCTTCATTAATAATTTTTTAATTGGTGACAAAAAAAAATTTCTCACCAAAAGTTTCAAAATTTTGGTGCCATCTAAAAAAATTAGCGGGAAAAATTTCAGTGACGAAACATAATGTTTTTCTCACCTAGAAAAATGTATTTATTGACGGAAATAAATTTCATCACCTATTATTTTTATTTTTGTATTTTACGTGACACAATTTATAATTCCTCATGAATTATTCTTATTTAGTGACGAAATTTGTTTTCTTCACTAATTTTTGTCACAACAGAAAAAGAGCAAAGAGAAATCGTGTACCAAATCGGCGAGCAAAGAAGATGCGGCGGTTACCGGCAAGGCTACTAATGGCGACCGCGACCGGCAAGGCTAATAGAGGCGACGACGGTGGCGATTCGCGTGGTGGAGGAGCAAGAGGTAAGACAAATTAATACCCTATTTTAAGAGAGAGAGAGAGAGAGAGGGATGATAAACAAAAAAAGATAGAGATGATAAACATAAAAGGGGTAAAAAAAATTAATACCTTTTTTTTTTTCTTATTGCCGTTCAATATATCAAAATTTTCCCACCAAAATTGGTGACAACATTATTTCCTCACCAAAAGATCTCAAAAATATTAAAAAAATTTGGTGACGAAAATATATTCCTCACAAATAATTTTATAATTAGTGACAAATTTTTTTGTCACCAAAAGTCCCAAAATTTTGGCGCCACCCAAAAAAATTAGCGAGGAAATTTTTTGTGATGAAACTTAATTTTTCCTCACCTAAAATGAAGTATTTATTGACGAAAATAAATTTTGTCACCTATCATTTTTATTTTTTTATTATATGTGACAAAATTTATAAATTCCTCACGAATTATTTTTATTTAGTGACGAAATTTATTTTCTTTACTAATTTTCGTCACCATAGATTACTTTTGTTGTAGTGCGGGGGTAGTGAAGCAAACATTGGTTGTCCTCCAATAAGATCCTCAGATCGATAAATCCTCCTGACTCTGGTCCAGAGTGCTCGGGGGGAAACTACCTCGTCGGAAGCAATTGTGAAATACTACCTTGCAAAAAGAAAATAAAGCAAAAAAAAGGAAACAAGAATCCGCAAACGCACAGCATCTCGGCTTAGACAAGGACAACACACAGTTGAAATTATAAGCTGGACAATCTGTACTCAAACACTGATTTCTGCCCCAAATTTCTGCCTCAAAACTGATACCCTCAAATTGATACCCAGACTTGCAACTGATACATACATTCCTGCAGAGTCACACTTTAAAAGCACATATCAAGCAAGTGAGAGCCAAAACACCCCTATGCTGGGGTAGGGTTACCCTGTCCAAATTTCGTCAGGAACAAGCGGTTCACTACACACACATGCGGTTTCATACAATCCTGCATTTGGGTGAGCGACATGTCTTAGTTTGGAATAGTCTCTAAGGCTTCCGATATGCAACTAGGTCAATTGGTCAAAAAGGGTGCCTTAGCAAGACCACCTAATATACCTCTCGCTCCTAACACCGAGAAGTGAAAGGAGGATCAAACGGTACAGCGGTAGTCCAAATCCAAGGTTTGTGTTCCCATCGTGGCAGAGCCTGCAACTGGTCAGCCTTGTGGCACGCTTTTCTAAGCGAGCCTCCGGCAAACCATTCAGGAATAGCAGATGGAAAACACTGTGACTTAAACGTACCGATGCAAATGCAAATGCAAAGAAACACATAAGTGTAAATAAAATAATATATCATGAGTTCAAGTCAAGTTCTCCAATTCCCCAGCAGAGTTGCCAGAAACTGTAGACTCGACTTTCTTCGCGCCCCCTTTCGGAGAGTTTGAATTGGTCCAACAATTCGGACTCCTGTCATGGTTCTGAATCTAATCTCACAAAGTGCAATGTGAGACTGATAAACACCAAAGAGTCCAATTCGGCAAATCATTTTGGAAAATTGATTTTAGATCAAATAATACCAAAACTGGACTGCTTTACCAGATTACAAAGTCGCCACCTAAATATTTTATTTTTTGGGAAATTTAGGAAACCTTGACTCGTGCCAAAAGGCCACTTATCTATCATCACCAAAGTTGCTTCGGCTTGGGAACTTGGATACGAGACGGGAAGGTCCTGAAATGAGCACCCCCGCTCGCCCGATCAAAGATCGGCCTCTACTATCATGATATGTTGTTTTATAAACATTATCCGTTCTTATCCGGTTATTAGCTAACTTTACTATGTGACACACACAAGCAAGTATAGACTAAAATCGTAAGAATTGGAACAAAATAACTCATGTTTGTTTTCAAAAATGGTTTGAAGGTGCCACCCTCAAGTGGGCTAAAACGTGAATTTGCCATCAAACATGATGGGCTTAAAACATGATTTGCCACTTCACAAAGTGGGCTTAAAACTTACATTTATCGAATTGTTCTAATTCAAACAACAAAGCCTTCATCCACAGGCATTCATGCAATCTATCAAGTAAGCACATAGCCTCATGGCAAGCATGCTATCATGGAAAAACTTACACTCATGCAAGTATGCTAAAGTGTAAAACTTACAGTGTACTCCAAGCCAAAACAAAAGCTAGTTAGAAATATGCATGATCCTAACTATGCAAAATGCCTAATGCAACACATGCAATAATGCAATTAATAGGCTCGGCTATCTAAGATGGCATATGAATGCGGCAATTTGACAACATTCTTTGAAACACGTATTCAAATAAGTATTGAAATACAATGCAATTTGAATGATGCGCCGAGCTCGGTGCATGCAAGACAAATGAATGATGCAAACATGCAAGCATAAGGTATGCTAATTGAAACGTGATCCCTAATCTAACCATCGAAAGCGGTTAAATAAAAGGGAGAAAGAAGTGAAGTTGGAAGACATGCACACACACACGCACGCTTATTACAACATTACGCCCTCGCAAAGGAAGGTCTAAATGAATAAGCTAAGCTACACTAAGCTAAGCTAATTATTACAAAAACAACTAATTAACTATTCTAGCTAATTAATTTCAACAT